CAAAACCCCAAAACCCCAAAACCCCAAAACCCCAAAACCCCAAAACCCCATAGATCCAAAATTTATCAAAATTTGATAGAATCAATAGAGGATAAATTATGACAATTTATTATAATAACTATAGATTTCATTCTTAAATTAATGTAAACTGTTATAGAAAAATCACCCCCAAGAAGAGGTACTATATTTAAGTCTCCAATATCTGCAACGAGTAATAATGAGATAGATATTCAAGAAATACTAGCTGAATGAGAGTTGTTATCTCCAAGACTTGAAATAGTGGATCAGATATAACCAGATTAGTGGAAGAATATACCTATTTGTGTAGTAAAGGCAACTAAATCTCTAATTCAACAGTAGTATGCATTTCAATAGAAAATAAAAGAGCTTAATACTTTTCAAAACAAGAAGCATGAGAAAACTGAATGGATTATTAAAAATCTCGAAGGAAATATCTATTAGAAAGATGATGTGCTGAAATCTCAGATTGAATCAAATCACCGAAAAGTGGTTGAGAAAGTATAGAAGCAGAACACTGATTAGGAAATTTAGTTTGAAAGACTAAAACAGACTTTTGAAGCTTTGAAGGATTTCTCATACAAAAACGTAATTTTTTTCTTTAACTTTAAAAGTATCACATGCAGAGGGACTAGATAGCAGCTTAAATAGATAGACTCACGAAGCTAGAAGTGAGTGATGAAAAACTACTCTCAAACATCATGGACCTGAAAAAGGAAAATGCTTTTACGTTATAGAAAAATATTAACACTATAGAGGCTAAAACAAGAGAGTTTGAGCAAATGCTCATGATACCTGGATTAATAGGTCCAGGCGAACCCTTTGAAAATATGAGGGGATTCCTTTCATACATTTACAGCTATCAATAGAGATCATTCAAAGATCTAGAATTGAAAATTAAGAAGGTCATAGAAAACAATATAGATGACATCGACAAGAAAATAGACGAAAAGGTTCTGAGTGTTAAGCAGAATATTGAAAATTAACTCTTCAATCATTAGGCTCAGAAAGATGATGGGAAGGAAAATCTTATAGACCTAATTCATAATCTAGATAAAAGATTGAACGGTAGGTGAAATTTGATAACTTATTAATGCATTCATAGAATAGTAAGATACTACAAAATAAATAAATGACAAGCTATCAAGAGTTGAAAGATTAGCTTTATATGAATTGCCAGTTCAGATCAAATAAAACAGAGATGATGAAATGTTAATAGAGCAAGTGAAACAACTGTAGTCAGAAGTCTAAAGATACAAGAGTGAAATGGATCTTTCATTAGGAGATATGAAAGTATCACAAATACAGGTGACTCAAGAGATTAAAAAGGAGATGAATGATAGATTTAAGTCAGTCCAGAAAAAATTCGATGATCTAAAAAATAATGTGAGCACAAATAATCTATAATCTAAATCTTTACTCTAGTCAAAAAATAGCAAATTCAGAGATAGAGATCAGAATAGCAACCTAAACAATATCAACACAACTGTTTTTTCTATTGAGAGCGATGTCTTCAATGAACAGTAAAAGCTTAGCATTATTCATATGATAAGAGAATAATTACAATTTACTGGAAAAGTTTTAGTAAATTCTAGCAATACTAATCTAGATTTACAGAAAAATTAAAGCAATGAATTTGGAAGAAAGCCTTCCCTGTTATAGACGATGAAAACAGATATTGGAATTTAAAGGAGTTCGACAGCCAATAGAACAAGCAATTAAAATCAGATGGAGGATAGAAATTCAAATGATACAATACGGTCTAAAGTTGAAGACATGCCCTCGCTTATGAATTTAATATCTCCAACAGCTAAGATAAATTCAAGGAGGAATATAAAGGTAGAGAATGAATCAAAATATCAAGTATAGCAAGCATTCCTAAGTGCATTTGATTAAGCCTAGCTAAAAATTAAACCACAAAGAATGAAGACAATATCATTTGATATGCACTAGAATAAATCTGGAAAGATAGAGATCACAAATTTAAATCCCTCAGAATCAGAACTTAAAGATGTTTAGGTACTAACAGTGCCGAATAACTTAGATAAAGATTATCAAATGAATAAGACTTTTGATTAAAACAATGAAAATTAAGACAGAGATTTGGAAAGTAATTACAATGATGAACCAGAGATGGATAGAATGAACTAGTGATATGTTAGCGATATCAGATAGCATATTGCTGAAAATTTGACAATTTAAAATTCATTGAAATATGCGGATTTAGAGTCAAGAAATTCAGGAAGAAAGACAGCACTGCTGAGTAATTAGTATAATAGCTATACTCCTCAATAGATAGAACCACTTAGCATTAAGTAAAGAATAAACAATCATTTAAATATGAGATAGATTCATTCAAGACAAATGCACAATATATCCATCAATTTAAGGCCGCATACTACTGATGACAGTAGTACTATATCTGGGTAAAGAAATAATAAAACTGTCCAGATTATCAATAGTAGACCTCCTTTAGAGGTAAAATTTAACAAACTGTGATAATGAATAATGAGATGCTGGCTTTTGAAAATAACATAATGCTATTGATGATTATATATTAGAAATCATTATATTTTAAAGTTACCAAATAAACAAAATTATTTATAAGATTATCATCGTTATTAATTTTCATTTCCTTGAGATTAAACAACACCTTGACTGTCTTATCTTTCTTGCTAGTGGTTATTTTCATATTAATCTTCCTCTATCTCCTCTTAAAGATTAGAGTGAGATCTTTTTCTCAATTCTTTAATCAGCTTCTTTACACATACATATATGAAAGTTGAGACCAAGATGGTTCCAATGAATGATTTAGTTATAAGGCTAAGCCATTCCCATTAGTTGGTACTTAGTACACTAACTGTTACACCAAAATCAAATTAAGAACTTTCAGACATGCCCAGAGTGACAATATTCAGTCTTCTCACTCTGTTGAATACATACTATTTGATTACGTCTGTTGAGTTCCTAAATGGTTCTCCAGCTTAAATGTCTTCTTATTCTATTCCTTTAAATACTTCATGTTTGGGTTATTCATAAACTATTGTTGAATATTCTACTGTGCCATCAACATGCTCTTCTTTGAAATAAATTCCTATTTCATTTTCATTGGTTTTCTAAAGAATAATTATGTCGTGTTATAATATTACTCTATAAATTGTAAAGTATAATGGATTGTCTGGCCATGTATTGGTAACATGATAAACACAGGTAATGTTTGAATGATAGTAGCCTGGTATAGATGATATAAATTGCTCCTCGTGTGAAGCATTGATATATCTCTCACTGCAAGCACTTCCTCTCTAGGGGCAAACTCTGTATTATGAATACAAAGAATTTGATGATCTAAATAATCAGAGGAAACAAATGAAATAATACAATTAATTTGAGCAATTTGACTAGCAATGCAGAGAAAAATCATTAAGGTCACAGCATTTATTTGCACTTTCACCATAAAGGCAGAATTTGTGACCTGACTTGATACAGCTCACACATTTTTCATTTTCATCCTTCATGAGATATCTTTTCAGATCGTGGTAACTATCATCATATTTGATACTTGACTAACTTGTTGAAAACCTCAATTCTCTGAAATCATCCTCATCAGAAAATCCTCTCAAAATGTAAAGTATCAATATATTACTTGGTATTAACTAATAATACAGATATGAACGCTAGTATAAGAGCAATATGCGAATAGTTGATCATTTCTTGTAATTTAAATGAATTTATTAATTTAAAAATCATAGTTCAACTATAAGACTTTATGCAACCTTAAGGGGTTTTGGGGTTTTGGGGTTTTGGGG